CGCGTAAACTCGTGCCACTCGCCTACAAGCAGTTCAGCCCCAACGTGCCCGAGAAGACCCTCGGCGCCAGCGGGCGCTATGAAGGCAAGATCGCACGCAGCTCCGAGCGCTTCAAGGAGCTCACCCCCAACTACAACCCCGACATCATCTTCAAGGACGAGGAGAACACGGGTGCCGACCGCCTCATGACCCAGGTGAGCGCGATCCGCCCTCCCAGCGCGCCGCCGCAGCAAGGCCACCTGCCCCCCTGGCACCTTTTCTCAACTGCCTGGCACGCCCCCTGGCACCTGCCCCTCTCACCAAGCCCAGCTGCCTTCTGCCCAACACAGGCCGATCAGGGGTCCGGGCCGCAAGTCGGCATCCCTGAGCCTGGCTGGAGTCTGTGAGACTGTGAGAACCTTCCCACTGCCAAGCCCCACAGCTCGGCAGGGCGGCGGCGCCCTCTCTGTCCGGAGTGCTGGCAGCTCACGCCAGCCGCGGTACCCGAAGGTACCTCAACCCTACTGCCGCCTGCGCCTCTGGGGCCCACTCAGTCTCTCCCGGCCTACTCTTCCTCTCGGTGGCGCCCTTTTCATTTCAAAGCCACTTGGCACCCTCGAGGCAAAGAAGCTCCAGGCGATCTAGGTTCGCTGCGCAGCTCCTCCAGGAGCAGGGTCCCGGCTGAGGTTAAAGAACAGCAGGGAAGAGTTGAGCAGCCAGGTGGAGGTGGGAAAGGGAACTGCCGGGCAAGCCCACGTGTCTGTCCCCAGAGCTAAGCTAAGTGGTCTGCTGCGGGTAAAGGGCGGAGTGCTGGGCATTTGGGCTCTGTGACCGAACTTGAGGGGAGGGTGTCCTTAGGCTTGGTGGAGGGGACAGGAAGAATTGGAAGAGAGGGGCAGCAGCAGAACCATAGGTGGCTGGCAGCAGAACCATGATCTCTGCGCGTGTGGAGCGCTGTGGCACAAATGTCCTTCCCTGATGCCGCGTGTGCAGAGAGAGACCTACGCTCCCTTCCTCTAGGGTCTCCAGGCTCTTTGCCCGCTAGCAGGCAGCTAGCTTTAGGAAGAGCAGCTAAACCACGGCCTTCAGCATGCGCCCTGGCGCCGGGGCCGGCCGGCCGCTGTCGGGGCGAAGGTTGGCTGGTGGCCGGGCCGGGCCGGGCGCCGAGGAATGCAGATAAGGATCCGGGCCACAGGCTGGGCAATCATTGACAGCGAGCTCCCAGGCTCTGCACCCGAGGGAGGGGGTAGTGGAGACGGAGGGGACCACAGGCTGGGCAATCATTGACAGCGAGCTCCCAGGCTCTGCACCCGAGGGAGGGGGTAGTGGAGACGGAGGGGCGGGAGCTGGAATCTCCAGCAGACACCAGTTGGGGGACAGAAGCCGGGCATCAAGATCCTGGAAGGAGCACACAGAGCTCCCTCTCTGGGCAGGGAGCGCCCTCAAGCCCGGCTGTGCACCGGGAGGACCAGCCTGGCCTTTGGTTCTCAGCGCCTGGGAGGTGCAGTCCAAGGGTCTGTGGGGCCCAGACTCCGTGGGGTAGGGGGAGTTGAGACATGGGCTGTCCGCCCTTGCACAGGCCTCATACCTGGGACACAAGGACTGCTGTAAGGCCCCCTGCTGGGAAGAGACCACGCTCCTGCGCCCACATCCCTCAGCTGCATAGTCCTTCGGGCTCTGGGGCCCCCTCCACGTGGGGAGGCAACAACTACGGACTTCTGTCCGGTCTGTTCCCTAGCACGCAGCTCTACTCTCATCCCCTGAAAGAAGGATCGTGAGGCTGTGCAGCCAGCTCCCTGAGATCAAAGGCTCGGTTTCTCTGGTCTCTTTACAAACGGGGGCAGCTCACGCGGAGATTCTGAGGGCTTTGAGATCCTGAATCGTGCACGCCCCTCCAAAAGAAGACGCTACGCGTCGCTGTCCCCTAGGCTGGAGGACCTAGCCCACCAGCTTCTGGTTTTCTGTTCGAGTATCTGCCGTCCCCAGTGCCGGAGAGCTTGGGGTCCTGAGAGTCGCAGCAGGAACGCTCTGTGGCCCTCGAAGTGTTCCCGGCGGGGCTGGGATTCCCCTCCAATAACACATTCTCCGCCCGCCCTCGGCACTCGGCACCTGCCGCGCCTCCAGGGCCGGTCGCCCCGGGCCTCAGCCCTGAGGTTGCAGTGACACCTACTGGGGACCTAGGGCCTTGCATGCCTATCAGGCCAGCCTCAGGCAGTCGGCTGGCTCCTCCATCTCCGTCGCAACCCGCCCTTGGGTCTTGGCGAGTCAGAGGCACCCTAAACTGGAAAAGTTTAGTCCCATCTGCGGAGGGACCAACCCCGAGAAGGGGTGATAGAACACAGGAGGGAAGGGAGCTCCGCCTACCAGAGGGTGTGTGCCTCCGGGCATCCTCCAGATTCTTGGTGCCCGGGGCGTCTGATGCTAGAATGGGAGGGGACACTTTAGGGCTCTGTGTTCCTAAGGGAGAAGGACAGAGACGCTCCCTGGTTTTCCGACTGGAGTGGGTGCGGTGGGAGAGTCTGCGGCCTATCGGCGCTGGATCGGGCTCCTTCCGCTAACTCCGCCTCGCGCGTTCCTCCCTCAGCGCTGCAAGGACCGCCTGAACTCGCTGGCCATCTCTGTCATGAATCAGTGGCCCGGCGTGAAGCTGCGGGTGACCGAAGGCTGGGATGAGGACGGCCACCACTCAGAGGAGTCCTTGCACTACGAGGGCCGTGCCGTGGACATCACCACCTCAGACCGCGACCGCAATAAGTACGGACTGCTGGCGCGCTTGGCAGTGGAGGCCGGCTTCGACTGGGTGTATTATGAGTCCAAGGCTCATGTGCATTGCTCCGTCAAGTCCGGTGAGCCGCTGCCGGGGGTCTGGGCCCGGGGCCGGGGCCGCAGGGAGTGGGCAGTCAGTACAGTGACTGCCAGGGCCAAGACTGCGAAGATGTCCGCTAGGGGATGGAGGCGGGGATCCTGGGGAAGAGGAAGACGTCCGCGGCGCTCCCTGCAGCTGCTCACAACCTCCTGTGCCTCCCACACCTGTTAGTGTCATGATATGATTTGAGCCTGGGAAGACAGGGTCTGTCCCAGTGCCTCTTCGTGTTGACCTGGGGGTCCACAGTCCAGAGCCTGCCACAAGATGTGCAAGACAGACCAAGCTGGACAGATGGAGGAAGCCAGGCTGGCAGGCACCACCTCCCCACACAGCTTATGCACAACAGGGCACCGGTGGGGCCAGGGCCTGAGTGTGCTCAGACACCGGTATGCCTGACCAGGAGCCAGAGGTTCACAACCATCGCCCAGCTGCAGGTCAGGCCTCCCAGGGGGCGCAGGCGTCCCCGACCTCTTCCCCAGATCCCTGAAGCTGGACATTTGGGGGCAGAGCTAGCCAAGAGAGTCAAAATAAAAGTGGACTCAATAAAGTGGATTTTCCCAGATTGGCTGCCTTGTTGATTAGAATTGACAAGCATGGGAGCCTCACCCGCTTTCCTAAAGTCTCTCAGATCCTTGTCGCCCACACTCAACCCAGTCACAGATGTTTCACCTGGTTCCTATGTGGATCCCCTCCAGCCCTCCCTGACCACGGACTTAGCCCTCCACCCCACACCCCTGTAGAAATTGCACTCACAGATGCAGCACATGAGACCAGGCCTGCCTTTTGGTGATCCTGACCTTCCCTGGACTCACTGTGGTTGTCCCGCACTGACCCCCAGCCACAGCCTGAACCTCCTGCTCCACACCTCCTCCACCAACAGTGCTACCTGGAGTCACAACTCCCTTTCACCTGTAAACATTGCCCAGGGCCAGCTCCCCAAGTGGCCTCTTTCATTCATTACTCCTGACCCAAATACTGTTCTCTCCTACCTGCTGCTGCCACTGTGTTCTGTTCTGGCACTGGAACCAAGAACATGAACTGAAGACGATGACTTTTTCCTTGCCCTTGACCTATCCC